AGGAGCCTTAGCACACTCTAGCACAGTACCCCTCAACAGGAAATTGAGGGCCCAGAGGTGACTTGCCCAAGGTCACACAGCTAATCAGCCGTGGAGCAAGATTTCAAACCCAGGGTCTCTGACCCCAAATCCAGTACATTTCTCACCACACCAAGCAGTCTCCTTCAAGTTGTTGGGTGAACTGCCCCTTCCCCGCCAAAAAAATTCCATAGAATAATGCTTCCTGAGGAAATGTACATAGAGACCAGTCTGATTATATCCCAAATGCCATTTTCTGCTCTTTAAATGTTTAATAAAAGAAACACATTCACACATTCAAACACACAACCCACGATGCTGATATGTGTTCGCATTGCACCAAACCCATGCTATTTGCAGAGAACATTTACTTAACCTTATAGTGATGAGTCCCAGGGTATCTCATTTCTACAGATTCCAGAAGTATTCCCCCCTCCCCCCACCCCCAGTATTTCAGTAGAATCAATAAAGGGGTAAAGGGAGGAAGGAGGGGTGGGGAGAGGGGAGGAAAAGCTCATGCATAGTCATTGGCTTCGAATAAAAATAACAACACTTAGCATTTACACAGCACTCTAATGATGATGAGGCCCTTTGAAGATATAGGTTAATCTCCTGGCACCCTGGTGAGTTAGGTCAGTATCATTCCCTCCACTTAGCAGGTGAGGGAATGGAGCAGTGAAAGGTTAATTGACTTGCTTAAGTCAGGGTTGGTAGGAGAATAGGGTAGGTACTCAAGGACTGCTGATTCTCTGCCCCAGTCCCTCATTTTATGGCTTTATTCCCTCCGTTAGCTCTGTGTGTTGTGTGTGTGTGTGTGTGTGTGTATTGTGTCCACAAAAATGCCCAAGAAAAAGAATGCATGGAGATTAAGGTTCATCAAGAAAATTATGCCTCCATTCCTCCGTACCTTGAAGGCAGAAGAGTATGGGGAAAGTACCCTGGTTTTAGAGGCAAAGAACAACCCTCACTGAGGACAGGTGACATCGGATAGAGTTCTGAGCCTGGAGACAGGAAGACTTTATCTTCCTGAGTTCAAATCTAGCCTTAGATACATATTAGCTATATGACCTTGGAGAAGTGACTTAACGTCATTTGCCTCAGTTTCCTCATCTATGAAATAAGCTGGAGAAGGAAATAGCGAACCACCCCAGTATTTTAGCCAAGTGGGGTCATGAAGAGTTGGACATGACTAAACAAAGATGATCTCTAGGTTTTAGGTGGTGCAGTAGATAGAGATTTATACATACTTAGAAGGAAGCCCTAAGTACCTGAAGGAAGATCTGAGTTCAAACCTAACCTCTGACACCTGCCATGTGACTCAGAGCAAGTCATGTATCCTCTCTCAGTTTCCTCATCTGTAAAATAAAGGTAATAGCATCCACCTCATGGAATTATAATAAGCAACAAAGATAACATATGTAAAATGTACTGCAGAGTTTAAAGTGTTATATAAATGCTAGCTGTTGTTATTCTGTCCAGCTCTACATCCTATGATACAAAAATTTCATGGGCCTGGTTCTTTTACATTGACCTATGGGCCCATAGGAAGGGACAGGAACCACTATGGTCTCATCTACTGGCTAGATGGAGATACATGGCCAAGTAAACATTGGGAAATGAGGGGAGAAACCAAGTCAGTCAAAAAAATAGGCCACCTGGAGTGAGAGTTAGACTAGTGAGAAAGCTCATCCCTGGAGAATAGGGGCTAGGTTTCTGTGACAGCATGCCCTCCTCCCAGCATTTGAAATCATAATTGTTTGGTGGCACTGAATAACTTCCACTTCTTACTCCCCATCCTCCCTGTTGGTAAGCTTAGGTCACCTAAGAAACATTCTTCCTGCATTATATAAGTGATTTGTATGGTGCAATGAGCCCTTTGAAAGGGAGCATGCTGCAGAAATGAAATAAAATCTAAAGGATAAATACAGGTGTATTAAAAGGGCCCACGCATTAAATATAAACCTCCCATTTACAGTAAAAAGGGTTACAAATTCCTATCTGCTCTTATGTGGCTATCCTTGCACCTCAGAGGACAGTAATGGTAGACTCGTAACAATTAGCTGAGAGATTGAGGTTAGGAGGAAGAAAGAAGGAAATTAAGGAAATATGAGAGTGTGGAGACAAGTTGGGGGTGGGGGAACGATGGTAGAACATAGACTATGAAGTCTATGCTCCTTAGGAGAGAAGTGAGTGGATAGAACGTTAGACTGAGTCAGTGAGTCAAGGATTCAAATACCACCTCTCACATTTGCTAGCTATGTGATCTTAGGTAAATTGTTTAACTACTCAGCCTCTGTTTTCTCAACTAAATGGGGGCCAAAATAACGATATGCAGCACACACACACACACACACACACACACACACACACACACACACACACACAGGGTCATTTCCTCAAGCGGCATTTGTGTTGCCACATGGGGTACCCGGAGAACTACTGATTCCTGATGCCCTCAAGATTGTATGGATAATCCTGAAGAGCCGGAGTTTCTAGTACTATAGCCCTGAGCCCCCATCACTCAGTCCTGGCTCAACAACTCCTGAGTCATCAATTCTTTTGGCTAAACATCCAGTTTGAACAATTTTGCCATCATGCGGTATAAACCCCTCAGCTATTCGTGGCCAGAAATCAGTTCTCCAAAGTTTCACTAGGGTCGTATTGGAACCAGGCAAAGAATAATGGCACACACTTCAAGGACTGTCCCCCACCTCCCATGGGCCCAGTCTACCCATGCTACATGTAGTATAATGACCTCACAGAGTTGTTCTGAGGCTCAAATGAGGTAATATATGTAAAGTATTTTGAAAATTTTAAAGTACTGTTTGAATGCCAGTTGTAATCATTATCTTTAAAAGGAAAAGGTTGGAATAGATCATCCTACCATCCCTTCCAGCCCTAAATCCTGTGATCCACCTTCTCAAAGATGGCCCCTACAGAGGTGAGATTAGGCGCTAATTTGCATGCTCAGCCTAAAGCTTTCTTTACCATAAGCTCCTCTCTCACCAAAGCACAAAGCCTAGGGCAGTAACCCTTATTTTTCAGCAAAGTTGACCCCACTCTGTCATGAGTAAAATTCTAAGAACCAGTGGCTGGAGAGAAATGCTGCTCAAATTCCCTGCAGCAAAATGGCTACAGGGATTTGTGGTATTCATCCCGTACTAAAGGAAAAGCCCTGAGTCCTAATGCTTGTGTCTGCAGATCAGCAGAACTGGTACATAATTTCAAGTTCTTTGGTTCTCTCTCTCAACTAATATTGTGATTTCATGGGTCCAGGATGGTAAACACCCCTCCCTTGGGTATCTACAGAGGCCTTTCAATGATGTCCTCCTCTGATGCCTTATCTGAGGATGGTGGTGTGACCCTAGATTCCTGAAGGCTCCAACAACAGAATTCACGAGCTCTGATGTGTCCTACTGAACTGAGACACTGGTAAGTGCCTGTGTTGCCTCAGGATCAATATTGCTATGTTCCAAGGGAAACATCACCACATAGGTTTCTGGAGGTGATGAGGTTTTTTTTACATCAGAGGACCCCAAGGCCTCTTCCTCTGATTGGCTGGCTCTTCCCAGAACCTCAATTTTCAGGAGGATGCCCAGGCCACCCATGTTGTCTTCATTCCCCTCCGGACTGTACTCCTGACTCAATTCCACAGGGCTTTCTCTACCGTAGTCATAGAAACCTCTTTACTCTGGAAGCTCACTCCACCCCTGGACTACTTTTCACTTTAGCAGTACCTATTGCCTCTGAGGCCTCTTCCTCTGATTGACTGGTTCCTCCCAGAATCTCCACTCTGAGGAAGCCCAGGCTTAGCATCTCTTCATTCCTTACAGGCTACACTTCTTACTTTCCAGACTTTCTCTACCATGCCTCTGTACTTGGTACCTTCACTTTCCCAACTCTCCCTAAGGCATCTAGATGCATCTCTTCCCACCCCCACCCCAGCCACGGATAGAGACCTGGAGTCAGGAAGATTCAAGTTTAAATTTGACCTCAGACACATTGTCTGTGGGACCCTAGATGAGTCACTTAATCTCTGTCTGCCACAGTCTCTTTATCTGTAAAAGGTTGATAACAATAGCATCTACTTTGAAGGATTGTTGTGAGATGGGACTAGATCTTTGTAAAGTGCTTAGCACAGTGCCTGGGCTCGGTAATAGTCACTTAATGTTTGTTTAGTTCCTTCCTTCCCCCTCTCCTGCTTTTATGTATTGTCTTCTCACATTAGAATATAATTATTCCAGAGTAGGGAGTTATTCTTTCTTCTTGTATTCTCAGTACTCAGGACAGCACCTGACAAGTAGTAAGCACTTAATAATATGGCGAGTAAATGCAATAAAAATAAACTGAGGTACATACTCCAAGCATAATCAGTTTATTAATAGTGATGTGTACAGCTGTTAACAAAACAGATCAGACCGGCCGCCTCGGTAAGGCCAGTGACCCCAGTGAGAAGGGGGGAACTTCTTTATTGACACACAGGAAAGGAGGAGGTTTGGGTAGTTGGAGAACATTACAATTGGCCATGCTGGGGAAAATGGGTTGGCTTTCGGATGTGATTAATGATGCCTCTTTCTGACAATTAAGGAATGTTAAATGTTTTATGGAACTCATCTGCCTCTTGTAATCTTTGTTAGGGGATCAGAACCACCAGGTTAGTTGTCCCCTTGGGAGAGATCAAACCTTCTTTCATTGCACAAGGACAGACAAGGACAAGCAATTTGTCTTTGGGGGGTATGGCACCAGGTTAAGCTAGTTGAGGCTTACGAACAACAAGCAGATGTCCCAGCAGTTATCTGCATGAGTGATAGATAACAACACTCCCTTTCAACCACACCTACGAACTGCTCAAAGGGACAACTGCATTCTGGAGCTTAACTCCAGAACCGAGGCTTGACAAAATGGGGAATAGGGTCAATTACAAAATAGAATCAGTTATTAAATGACACAGAGTAATTTTAATTTCCTCAATAAATATGTCACGTCTTGCCTTGACAACAATACACCCCTCTCCTCTGCCTGACCTTTAAAGTTATCCTAAAAAGAGAAAAGAAAGGGAGAAAAAGCAATGCAGCAAAATTAACCAACACATAAGCTAAGTATGATGTTTGTAGTGTTTCACACCCAGTCCCTCACCTCTGCAAAGAAGCCCCATCACTAACTGGGACTGTAACCTTGGGCAAATCATTGATCCTCTCAGTCTCAGTTATCTCATGTGTGAAGTGTGGACGGTGTTCAAGGAGGACTATCACCTCTGGTGTGAGGGCTTGCTGAGCCCTTTTCAGGGGTGCTCATCCACTTTTGGGGTCCACCTTCACCCAACTCTCACCTGTGGCTCCAAGAAGTGTACCATGTGCTGTGGCCACACCATGGCAAAACCATCTTGGTTGATGGGCTAAATCAGCTTGAAGGTAATTGACAGGCCTCAAACCTGTCTTTGGGTTAGGAGGATGTCTGCCCCAAGTATGTGGAGACATCTCCCCACAGAATGGATGGATGAGAACAACTTGTTCCAACCACCATGAAGGCAGCTGAAGCAGGTGCTGTGGAGCACTTAGAGCTTGCTTGGTCAGTCATCAAAGATGTCTTTGATGACCTGGAAGAAAGAGTGAGGCTGACAATTTTTCACAGCTCTGCCTCACTTAAATCCAAGATATCACCCATGATGTCATTGGTCCTCTTCAAAAACAAAAGTAGAACATCTCACGTGTAAAATATGAATATCTTTTCTATTTTCTCTAGCCTACCTTGTGCCCCCAATTTAATGTTTGGAGCTTCAGAGCACCATTTTGCCCTCTATTAAGAGAGGTGGTAATAGCTGCCACTACTAGAACTACTAACATTTATATAATGCTTTAAAGTATACATTCATTATCTCATTTGAGCCTCAAAATAAAGCTCCTTCTTCAGCTTAATTCAATAAACTTTTATTAAGTGCCTACTATGTGCCAGACACTGTACTAAGTGCTGTGGGTAAAAATAAAAACCCTCTGGGACAGCTAGGTGGCACAGTGGACAGAGCACCGGTCTTGGATTCAGGAGAACCTGAGTTCAAATGTAGCCTCAGATACATAACACTTACTAGCTGTGTGACCCTAGGCAAGTCACTTAACCCCATTGCCTAACCAAAAAAAAAAAAAGAAAAAGAAAAAACCTCAAAAGGCTTACAAACTGAAGAGGTGGGAGGTTGATGGTGACCAACAATATGCCAGCTTAGGAGCATGATGTTTGTGGAGTCTAAACCAAGCAGGGCAGCTGGTGGAAAGTAAAGAGTTACCTAGAAAGTTCTGAGCCTGTAAAAAGGGAGGCTTTGGGAGGAGAAGTTTGTTACTCTTCTCCAACCCTCCAATCCGAAGGGAAAGAGGCTGCCAAGGGAGCTGAGAAGAAGCTGAGTACCAAAAACTGAATCAATCAGAATGGTGATGAGGTTCTTAACGTGACATTGAGCTACACGACACTCCTCCCACTCCACATGACAACTGTCATCCCCATGCCTTTGCACTGGCTGTTTCATGTGCCTGGAATGCTTTCCTCACCTCTGCCTCCTGGCCCCCTGACTTCCTTCAAAACTCAAGATTAAATCCTACCTTCTGCAGAAGGTCTTTGCTTTCATGTCCTCTCCCCCCACTCTCACTCCTTCCCTATGGTTTCTCTCTAAAGTTACCTTCTGGACCTGTGATCCAAGGGGTGCTTCTATTTCCAGTGGTTAAAAGTTTAACTCCTCATTGGCAGGAGGGAGCATATTCCAGGAATGGTGGATGATGTTGCAGAGGCAATGGAATACAGAGATCACAAAATCGAGTGTTTCAGTGTGTCTGGAACATGGAGATAGTGAATGTTAAAAATGGGTAAGAAGGTCAAAGAGTTTGCAATAGTAAATATATGATAGAGTATGAGTCACTTGGGAGTAAGGATGGCATTTGTTTTTATTTTATGACTTTCTATCCCTAGCACATAGCACAGTACCTGGTACATTCTAGGTATTTAGTATATGCTGGCTGAATAAATGAATAAATAATGTAGATAAATGCATGGGTCACCTGCCGTCACCAAAACTCTTAGTATGTGACTGTGTACATAATGACCTATGAAATTGTCTATAAAACATCAGTTGGAATTTAAATGAATAAAATTTTAACCATTCTGAAACAAAAAAATACATACATACATACATACAGTTATCTTCTACTTACCTGCTTATACCATTCCCAGTTTATATATACCTGGTTATTCTAATGAATATAAGCTTCTTGAGACTTTCCTTTAATTCCTAGCCTTTGGCATAGAATCTGCCATTTGTGAGTCTGTTCATTAACTAACAGACCCTGTGAGGTAGGTTCCACAGGAATCATTTTCCAAATTTTACAAGATACTGAGTTCAGTAGGTCTTCTCAACACTGGCCAAGGACCTTTATCCTTCAGGATACAAATTCCAGTCTTTCTACTCCACCCATTGAACCCGAGAAAAAGAGAAACCATTGGAATTCTTCCACACTAGATTTATTCATGCTACTAGAATCTCTTCCTATGCCCACTCCCAAACAGAAGCCAAGTGAAGATTGATTATCACCATCTAACCCTGTCTGATTTGTTTACAATGCATGGCACAAAGATGTTCCCCAAGTATAAATGTATGAAAGCTTAAGGAACATTTTGGAGGCTCAGCTGAAGACTCCATATTTGTCTGTCTGTCTCTGTCTCTGTCTCTGTCTCTGTCTCTCTCTCTCTCTCTCTCTCTCTCTCTCTCTCTCTCTCTCTCTCTCTCTCTCACACACACACACACACACACACACACACACACACACACACACACACACACACACACACACACACACACACACACACATACTTCAGTGAGAAAGTAACTGACCAGGTCATTATTTCTTAGATATTCGAGAGGTGCTCAGAATATCTCTGTAATATTCCACATGTAACTTGTCTAGGAGATTAGGTAAGCTTGGCTAATTAAGACTCACTCACCACCATCTCCCTGGACAAATGCTATTGTGGAGGTGGTGTGGAAAACAATTAACCCTGCTTAAGTTCAAACAGCTTGTCTGAGCTGTAAGATCCCTTCCCCCCCCCAACTCTGGAGCCATTAATTAAAGATTCTATCCCTCCCCCTCCAATTCCTCACCACTGTCATTATTTCCCTTCACTCTTGGAGGCTGCCGTCACTCTCCACTCTTCCCTAAGGAATTACGTAAATGCAAATTCTAAAAGAATATTACAGGGAAAGGGTACACTGGGCCACAGGGGACAGTAGCATCTGTTTCTGTAGAGCTGCACCTTTGGCTCCAATAGCACAGCCCACCTAATGCAAAAAGCATTCTTAAGAGAAACTGGCAGGAAACCTGGAGGCTTGAGACTTCTAAAATCCCAATGAAAATAGATGAGATGAGTTTACATTTGTCAAGGTGAGGGAAATGATGCATTTCTGAATGAGTAAATGAGTAAGTGTTGTAGGCAAAAATAAAAAATCTCAAAGGAGTTCCAAGGAATGTGTGTGTTTATAGTTTACTTTCTTATCATAGATGCTGGAGGCTTATAATTATCCACATCAGTAGAGCTTGTAGATTCACTCACTGGTTACTTGCAGACAGGGGTGCTGACTGCTTTTTATATTTACATAGGATTCAGAGAAAATGAAACATTTTTCTCATAGGCAGATTATGACTATAAAAGACGATCTTAGGTTTCCTGATCCGGAATTCAACAAGACTTATATGGAGGTTCTTTGGGGTAGAAGGTAACATCTATTCCACACTCAAAGATTCAGGGGATGTGACTGGGAATGGGGCAGGAGTAGGAGGGAGAGTTAACGAGAAAGAATGGTTAGATTAAAGATATCTCTATGCTTGAGTGTGGACCTTTGATTTCATCAGCATGCAATCTATTTCCAACAACCAACTGATTTTCAGCTCATTTGTTACTTAGTAACTTGCTTTCCTGTGGTCACACAGCTCAAATGTGTTAGCACCATCAGTTCCAGTCAACCTCCTCTGGGGGACCCCCTCAAGGCAGGGACAGCTCTACACCCCTTGCCAGGAGGAAGCAGTTTTAGAAGCCCAGACCTTCACCCCTTACCCCAAAAGAATTTGAGTCCATTTGTTTGAGGGGGGAATGATGAGGATGGGAGCTAGACCCCAAAAAGGAAAAACCCTGGAATTTCCCACATGGCCAGATCTCTGGCATTCCCCTGAGGCTATAATCAGGTCAACAGGCCTTTCATTGTGGACCTCCCTATGGCTCCAGGCCACTTCCCACCCTTAATCCTATCTAGGCTCCATTGTCATCCAGGTCCCTGGAATTCTATTACCTCATAGACTACTTGGCCACTCCTAGATCCCTCCCATAGTCTTAATGTATATAAGGTCCATCTTGTCTCCATTAAGGTGCTCAGTTTCTTTCTTATAATCTAGCCACTGCTCAGATTCTTACAATCTAGCCAATAGTTCACTAATGTTCAGACTCCTTAAGAGTCTGCCCAATATGACAGATGTTCTAATAAACCTTGTCTTTGGCTGTGATGTGGTTTAGGGGTTCAGGGGTGCTGGGACACCAAAATCACAACATGTGGGTCCTGTCGAAAAGAATTTGACCCAAGCCTTCCTTCAGCCAAAGATTGATCTGCCCTCTGGGGCCAGATAAGAAGGAAAAGATGAAAAACGAAAATATATAACCATCAAGCCAATTAGATTCCAAAAAGATCCTTTAGGAGTAGCCATGAAGAATTGTTGCTCCTTAGAGAAGACATCTTTGTCTATGTGTACCCTTATCTAAGGAGAAGTTCAGTGTTTCTTTCCTCTTCTCTCCACACTTATTCTCAAGATTATGGGCACATCATATGTTATTGGGCAAACCATGATGCATTAGTTTAAAGTTCAGTGCTCCACAGGGAAGGCTTTGCTGAATATATTAAGACTTGGTTTCAGCAGCCTTGTAATTTATTGACTGATTCCTTCGATCAAGTCCATTCAAGTGGTTTAATAGGTTTCTCATGTAGCTAAATGACTTCTACCATTGCCTCATTGATTATTACTAGTTGTAATTCTTTATACCACTTCATAATCATTAATTAGTTAATCTGCACAGAACTCCTGTGAGGTAAATTAGAAATATTCCCATTTTACAAAGGGCTTAATCAATAGATATATTGATGTGGAAACCAAAGCATAGAAAAAAAAAAGTAACTTTGCCAAGTCTCAAAGTTGGAAGAGACCTCAGAGACCATGTAATCCAAGCCACATATGCCTAGGCATTGGTCATTCAGTAAATTATATGACCAAAGGAATATGGTCATTTATCAAACAGTAAATGAATTACAGGAAGAATTGGGAATGGAATTTAGGAGTCTTGTGAAGCTCTTCTTTGTTGGGGGTGGGGAGGAGAGAGAGAGAGAGAGAGAGAGAGAGAGAGAGAGAGAGAGAGAGAGAGAGAGAGAATATATTATATATATTTCATATATATATGTGATGGTTAAGTCTAGAGCTATTTTTCCAGAGGTCTACCTTTGCCCTTCTCATAGGGTGATCTGCTCCATTATAGCAAATGCTCAGAACATGATAAAAAATCATCTTATCTTTATCAAAATACAAAACCTCTTATAAAGGCACAAAAATCAAATAAACAAGTTTTCAGGGCAAATGATGCTAGTTCACTAGGCAGCAGTGAGGCAGAGGAGGAAAAGGAAGTGGAAAAGGGATAAATTCACCCCATCTCAATGGAGTAGCAAATTCCATGTAGTCAGGCATTCCTTAAATAGGCCATCAAGCCAAAGAAGTTCCCAACTATTGGTGATCATATTCAGTTCAGGATAGCAGCAGCCTTCCCTTGTAATTGTCTGGCTGCTGAAGCTGGCACACTGCTACATGCCCCAAACCCTCTATCCTCTCCACGCCACTCTAAAGTTCCTTGCTTACCCACACCACTCTAGTCCAGTTCATTCCCATGATCTTTCAATTTCTCCTTCTATCTGAGGAAAAAATATTGGGCTATGTACTTGATTCCAAGTCTTGTCTTTTCTTCATATTATTTATCTCTACCTGTTCCTTTCCCTAAAGACATTCCCAAATATACCTAGCATGAAAAAAAAAATGTGATCTGTATAGAGAAACAAATTTTCTTTAGTAAACTTTAAGAATGAAAACAGTAAGGAGTTAAATCATCCTGTTTTCAGACTTATGGGAGAAAGTTCAATTTGTATATAATACTTCTTTCTTACCACCTCTCTCCCTGCCCCCTCATCCCACCTCATCATCTTTTTGCAGAAGAGAGGCAATATTTAGTTAACTAAGTGATATAGTGAGAATGGGTGGACCCAAAAGCCTACATGTCACCAGGAAACTTCCTGATTAGTTTTTGGCCCAGCATTATAGAATGAGGTAAATACCTCTATACAAATAGACAGATTCTAAAACATCATGGGAATATTCTGTGGCCAAAAAAACCCCAACAAAACAAAACAAAAGAAACACCATTCTTTTTTCAGGTCTTAAATCATATGCCATCATACAGAGATCCAGAACTAAAAAGATTATGGGGGCCAAACTAGCATTGGGATATTCTAAACATTACTTTAGAAAACATAAATACCACCCACTCTGGGACTTGGTAAATTTCTTTCCTACATATATCTAATTACTTTAGCCTAGTTATTATTTATGATTTGATATTCTCTTTTCCCTTATAAATAAATGTCTTTGTTTTAACAAGGTTGCTTACATACAGTAAGGGAAAGGAGAAGCAGGTACCAATCAATCATTCATATTTAAGCAATGGTAGAAGTAAGAAGAGAGATTAATTAAGGATTAGG